TGCAATCTTTTTCTGCTTATTCCTCTCTAGAGTGACCAGTGTCTCTTTCAATCTGTCATTGTCTCAGTTCTGTCTTTTCTCAAGACCTGACACCTCATCCTCAGCCCAGTCTCCTCACTTATCCAGTTCCAAGTCTCTATTTTTCAGGCTTCACATTTCAGTCCTGCATATTCCAGTCGCTCATCATGACTCTATCCAAATCTCAGTCTCTTTGCTCAGCTGGTCCCAATTCCCCTTTTGCACCAGTGACCCTTATCAGAGCTGTCTCTTCTCTTTTGGTCCTTGTAGGCATTCACATGCCAATTTTAGTTTTTCCCTGTCCCCAGCTCTTCATCTGATACAAGTTACTCATAATCCATTCCTTTCACAACTCCCTTCCCAGTTTAATTTCCTCAACCTTCCCAGCTTCTCTTTGTCCCAATATATTCCTTGTCTCACCTACTCGTGTTCCCTCTGCATTTAAGACTGGTACCTTTCTCTTGGATGCTGCTTGGGCACAAGTAGGATAGCTTTTAAAAGCCTAGAGTCTACAAGCTCCCATCATCAGTTACAGAACCTAGCCTAGTTCCAAATGGGCCCCAAATCAGTTGGTGCAGTTGCAGTCAAAGTCCCGCTGAGGCTTGGGCTGAAGAATGCTCCCTTTTAGCTGCTCTGCCAGGATGCCACGTGCAGTCCAGCTGGAGGTGGGAGTCAATGGAACATGCACAATGAGAAGATTTGGGCTCTAAGGCTTTATTTAACATGAAGCGTGTACAAGTTTAGATTTTTAAAGGCTTGTCATTCACCCAAATTTGGGCAGACTTTCAGGTGAGTAGCTAAAGCCTATTTTCAGACACACCAGACACCACAGTCTCTTTGGGGGATGGGCCAGGCATGCTCAAGGCCCTTGGTGCCAGGACCTGCAGCAGCTTTAATAGTCAAGCTTTCCCCTGCTAAATTTCCAGTCTGCTAAAAACATGCAGGAAGTAAAGATTCTTAATTAAACAGTGGTAAGAAATGTAGCCTGGCAAAACATCTTTCCTGCCCCCCTTCCTTCTTATCCCCATCCCACTTGTCCAAAGTAGTTGAATCATTTGGGTTAAAATTTTCCCAAACAAAAATCAGCATGAGGCAGGGACCCAGCATGGGAAAAGGCATCCCAAATTATTGAATTCTGGAGGTTACAAGCAACTGAAAACAGGATCTTATAATGAGAAGTGTCAGATGCAGTAATGGAGTGGTGGCATTTCTATCTCTCTCCATGATAACTTCTACTTCAGGAGGCCTGGATGTGTCAGAAATGGGTTTCTGTGCCTTTTTCTCTAGTTTACCAGTTTGAAAGATTTTCCCGTTTCATTTATTATATAGCTGATAGCTTATATGTAAGATGCAAGGCTCCTTACACACACCACCAACTCTGCACTAATAAGCAGACTCAGCCGAAAGCCAAGATTGCATAGACCATGGAGGCAGACGTACCCCTGTCGATCCTTGAATATCAGTGCACTAGAGAGGCAATGGGCGTGTGTAGTTTATCCAAACTTTACCCTGGAGAACAGACTTAATTTCATAGCAGTGTTAATTTCACAGCACTCATTAAAACTGGATCAGAGGCAATTTTAATGGAAGTTTGAAGGACTGTACAGGTAACTTACAAGTCATTCATGGTGCTGCACAAAAACTGGCAAATATAAACTTAGAGGAGGGGGGAAGCTAGAGTTGGGGCACTCATGGTGAGAATGGCCCCACATTTCCTGAGGAAGTCATACTGCCAAGAAGGAGATGGGCAGCAATGCCAGACCTTCCTACTCATTCTCTGAACTCCACCTGGTTGGATTCTAAATCCACTAGATCACCAGTGTTTTGAGGCTGCCCTACCTACAGCCTATGTGAGATTATAACCTTTCTTCATAGAGAAGCATTCCTCTGAAACTCTCATTTTGAGGTTTTTTTTAATAACATTTTCCATCCTGTGGGGCTTTTATTACAAGAAAGGAGTATCAGGCCCTGATGTGCTATGCTCCAAGAAGCTATTTTGGGAACAATTTTAATATAAAAAAATGATGATTCTATATTACTTGAATTGCAGAAGCACCCACAAGCCCCAAGAAGAGTGAAAGAGGAAGAATGTGCAGTCCCTGCTCTCTAGAGCTTTCCACTCCACTTCATTGGTAAGTATTTGGCACAGTTTAAAATATTTCAGGAAATATAAATAGATAGAAATAAAGAAGTCACAATAAGTAAGGACTAGCCAAATCGTTCTTCAGATTTTCAACAGCAGACTGCATTTGACTGAAAAATAGCACTGCACTATAATACAGAGTATCCATCTAATGCTGTCCTCAGATACACACACGCACAAATCCCACTGGCTCCCATGGGACTGGCATGCAGATAAATGCTGAAAGGATTGAGCTGTGTATTTACAATGTTTTTGAAAAGCTTTCAGAACAAGTTACAGGACATAAATGATATCATATCCTAAACACACATGTTAATATCGTTATGAAGTAAATATTCTTCTTCACTGTTGTCAAATAAGGAATGTCAGTTATTTTTGGAATAGACACAGCTCTTCATTACTTACATGTGGGTTTTTAGAATTAAGGTGAGTTGATTTAGCTGAATCTTGGTTATGCTGGTAAGACATATTTTGATGCTTATAAGTCAAGCCATAAATAACATTATCCTGATGTCTGAACAGTGCAAAATGTTTAAAACTTGACATCTGTATTAAAAAGACTAATCATTATTTGAGTACTTCAGGGAAAAATGGAGCAAGAACCTCATAAGTTTGACTAGTCAAAGATGGTAAGAATGTTATAAATATTACAGTGGTTGCACCTGCTACTGGTTGCCAACCCCAATGGTATTGATTAGAGGCTCTTCGAAAGTTTTATTGTTACTGGTACAGGGGGAATATTTACAACGTGTGCATTACTTATCTAGACTAAAAGGACAGCAGGAAAGAGTAAAGAGCTCTTATGTTAACAAAATTATTTTTCATTTCTGTATTATTGTTGTACAAGAATTCATATAGGGGCCAAGAGTTATTTAATTCACTTGCCGTTGCTGTTCTGAGTGACCTTTCTTTTTTTGCAGAGGAAAAAAGGCAAAATTGCCCAAAATATTTAAGGGGGGCAACAGTTTATTTTCCCCAGTGCTCCTCCCCCACAAAAAAACAGCCAGAATTTGAGCCCTGTAAACCCCATTCAAGTCCATGGAAAGACTCATACTGAACCTAGTGAACTTTGGGTCTGAAGATAGGGATCCAAATATGTAGCAGTATTTATTATTGTACTGTATAAATAAACACACCAGTTTAACAAGTTACTAGTAGAGGAGCGGGATAGGTAGAACAAGGGAAAGCCAGCCTTTCAAATTAAGGGCACAGGCTATAGTTTTCTCAGTTAGAAACTTGATCTTTTTTTTAGGCTATATTATACTTTGATTCGGCTGAAATGTCATCTGCTAGTGACAATCAAAACAGCAGTATGCCTAATTTAGAAGCAAAATGCTATTGTTAAACTGAAATGTAACGCTTCAAAGCCAAGCAACTACTTGAAGCTTACATTTATTTGTTAAGTTATGCGATACATAGTCTGCATTCTTTACAAGTAGCAGATCCAGGCACAGGCAAGCCTGCAGGATTTATACCCACTCAGGATACCATCCAAGATGGACACTGTTCCCGCAACATGTATAAATCCGTGGTTCTCAGCTTTTTCAGGTTTGAGAAACCCCTCCAAAGACTCAAGGTATCCCTCAAAAAATGCCAGCTCTTAGTTTTCACTCTGGTTTTTGACTATATAAACATGATAGAGCAATTTTTCTGTTGCAAAGAACTCAGAAAGACCGCCACAGGGAAGAAAGTTTTTAACACTATGGATTGTTTTTATCTCATGAATCATGTTTGTACACGTAAGCGTTCACATTATGTGGCACACCACAGCATCCCTGAAAGGGTCTTGAGGCACCCCAGGGCACTGTGGCACCTTGGTTGAGAGTCACTGATATGTGAATAAGGTTGCATGCTTGAGTAGTAAAATAGAGGTCAAGGAAGGTGCCCAGCTGTGTATAAGTACTAACACACATACAGGGACTGTAAACATAGGGCCTTATTTCTGCCCTTTATTTATTATAGCTTGATATGGTGCTAATAACTCTTGTGCAAGGCCGATTTCTGTACAAGAAATACATTTGCTTCCCAAACTGCTTTGACAGGTTCAATAAATAAGCTTCCCCGCCAGCCAAGACCTAATTTAAGGAACGATTTTTGAGCCTCATTATAACCTGTTTGGCTTTATTCTTACATAGCATGTTCCACCTCTTTAGCACATCCTTAAATCATAAAACCGTGCAAACCTTTTTTTTGGCTGTCAGCCGTGCTTTATTTTTTCCTAACTGGCATGTGGTCCCCAGACTGATCAGAAGAGAAAGCAGGTGCTCCTTCCCATCATGGCAAGGCTGCCCCGGGGCTTTTGCTTCTCTCCCTACCCTTTCCCCACTTCTCTTTCGTCCTCTCCCCTGTCTATTCCATCCTCCCGGCTGTTCCTGTAGCACTGCCCTCTTATCCCTCTCACTTCTCCATCGCTTGCTGCCCCCAGGCCAGTGTGGCCTCTCTTTCTCGCCCTTCTTGCCCCACTTTTCCTGCCGCTGGTTCAGGTCCCGAAGCGCCAGCGCCGGGCACATGGAAGTGAGGCGCCGATGAGCCCTTGTAGCCCGAGGAATCAGGACTCGTGGGAGAAGTGATATCTTTTATCAGACCAGCTGCCTTGCTGCAAAAAACCGATTCTGCCGGCTCCGCGTCTCGCCCGGGGGAGCTGCAACATCCAGCCGCTGGCTGCTTCCCCTGGCGGAAGCGCAACCATTTGAAGGGAACGGGGAAAATCCGGGCGGGGGCTTGCACAGGTTGCTCCGCGCCTCCCTGCTCGGCCGCCCGGCAGCGGGAACGGGGCGTGTGCCGAGGGGGCGGGGGCTGAAGTTGGGCTGCGGGGGCGCGGGCGTGGTGCCGGCGCGGACTCGCCGCTCTTCCGCACATCCCCGCGCTGCCAGCCCCATGGCCTCGGGCGCGAGCAAGAGCCGTCAGCCCGGGACTTGCAATGGCCCCCAAGGCGCTCGCTGCAGCCCGGCAGAGGAGTGCAGCCGGGAGATGCACACGAAAATGTGCAAGAAGATCGCCCAGCTCACCAAGGTAAGGCAGGGCTCTCTCTGCTCGGCGCCTGCTTGCAAACTTCCCATCCTCCTGCCGGGAGGAGAGCACAAGGATGCCGGGGGGGCGCAAACTTCACTGCAAATCGCGGCTCTTCGGGGGGTACAAACCGCCCGTGCACTCGCCCACGTGCCGGGCAGGGGGTGTCTGCCTGCTGGCCAGCCTGTCACCCGGCCCCTTTCGTTATAAGGATCAGCTGGAGGATGCTGCGCTCCGAGCTGGACCTCGGCTGCGTGCAGCGTAACGCTGCCGTGTAGAGCCGTGGTCGTGAATGCGTGCAAACAGCAAAAATATCCGCCGAGGGGAGGGAGGGGAGGGCAGCCCACATCGCCCCGCCGTGCGGTTGTATCTCTGGGCTGTAAGCGGCATTACCCTGTTTCATGCTGGGTTACGGTAGCGGAGCTCTCGCAGCTTGTCCATTTTGTGTAGCAGGCAAGAATCAGAAATCTCAAGCAGCACTGCCTGCCTGCTCCCCTGTCTGCGCTGCTCCTTTGTCAGTCTAAGGGGGGAAAAATCCGTAGTTCCTGAAATGTGATCGATTGGTCTCTGTGTCCACAGGGGAATAAGTAATGGGCTCAAATTCCAAGGGAGATGTAGGTTAGACAGCAGGGAGAACTCGGACTATGAAGGTGGGCAAGAGCTGGACCAGCACCCACGAGGTTCTGAAATCTTGGTGGAAGTTTTTAATATTTTTCTGGGACAGGAGCAAGTTGGACCAGATGACCATTTGAAGTACCTCTCCCAGCCCGATTAATTGTCTAAGTCCGTATTTTCCCCCTCCCTCTTTTTAGATTATCTTGCGCACTCTCCCTGATCTAACAGGACACACCATCAGTTCTGTATAGAGTCCAGCAATTTACTCACCGCCGCTCTTTTCTTCATTAATTAAAGCACTAACTACAAAGTAACTTACAAATACATGAAGAGAGAGACACAACTAGTGTGAAAGTTAAACATTAAGAGGTAAATATTCCCTAGGAAGGGTTACTGTGTTTTAGTATTTGTGACTTCACTTTTTCCTACTGAAGAAAAAATGCAGGGATGTGTTGTATTTAAACTTGTACAAGTCCATGCAGATATGTTTACACACAAGTATTTTGTTTCTATGTGCATGTATATATAGTAATTTGATATTTATTTTTATGTACACAGATGGCTGCACATTTTGCATGTGAATACACATACGTACATTAGCACACTCTTTGATCTTGCAGTAAATGTAACCTAACAGTCCAAATAGAGATGTGGCATACATTTTCACTACTTGAGACATTCAAACCCTGTTGCTGACTGGCATGTCCATCAAGGCCCTGGGGCCAGATTACGTAGGAGGCCGTGCCAACCCAGTTACATCCTTCTAATTTCTAGTAACCTGTTGGTAACTCATGGGCCGGATCTGACCTGTGAAACAACATGTTTGACACCCCTGTTGCTATAGGAATTAAACCAATATAAGCAGGGCCAGGTTAACGCATAGGCAAACTAGGCATATGCCTAGGGCCCTTTTCCTCCATTGCGGTAGTGCAAATGGCCCTGTCTGCTTCCCTTCCTCTCTGCCAGCCTCACTGCAGCGGCAGCTGCTTCCTAGTGGCGGCTTCAAGCCCCACTTCCTGCAGGTGGTAGCGCTGGCATGGTGAGGGGGGGTCCCGCAAGTTTGTTTGCCTAGGGCCCACTAAAGGTTTAATCTGGCCCTGAATATAAGTACTTAAAGAAACAGTGTTACTTTTTTATTTATCCCAACCATTTCCTCATCCCACAACAAAATAATTATTATTGGCAAGTGAATATTAAGATTTCTTGAAATGACTATTCATTTTTGATCTGCTGCTCAGTTTCTGTCACTGCCCAGTTCACCTGTAGGTAAAGATTAAAGATGTCTGAAACCTTCTAACAGCTCCTCTAATTTTCTGTTCCGTGGAGCAACCAAGAGGGTTTGCTGAAATGATATGAGTTGCTCCATCAGGTTTACAATCAAAAGTTGAGCTTTTGAATTACTTCCTTCTCTCTCCTATTTGAAAAACAATAGTGAGGATCATATTTATTAGTTAAATTTAAAAAAATGATAATAAATTGTAATTTGCAGCACTGGAATTTCATAGGGTTGCTAACTCAGTCACTGCAGGTGATCCATCCAGAGCAAACTTGAAGTTTATTGGTAAGAGAGGTATGGTGAAGTTTGTATTGTCAAGCCTCATATTGAGGTTGTGGCTAAATAGAAGATTTTGGTGCAGTACCTTCTACAAGCTTTAGTCATACAGAAAAGCTGTTTTAAAGTACCTTTAATTCCAATTAAATATTGAGAGAAATTTTTAATTATTTGCCAAGATAGAATAGAATAACAAAATAGTGTTTTGTAACATTAATTTATCTTTGTATTAGAAAAATAAATACCATTTTCCATTAGTAGTAAAACTCACGTCAGATGTTTCCAAAGCCCTTTACATTGAAGATTGTGGTGCCAATCTTCAAGAAAGGGAGGAAAGTGGATCCGGCTAACTATAGGCCCATCAGCCTGACTTCTATCCTGGGGAAGATTTTAGAAAAGTTTATTAAAGAGGCCATCCTTAATGGACTGGCCGATGCCAACATCCTAAGGGATAGCTAGCATGGGTTTCTTGCGGGTAGGTCTTGCTCGACCAATCTCATTTCCTTCTAGGACCAGGTGACCTATCACCTGGACAAGGGAGAAGAGATTGATGTCGTATATCTTGACTTCAAAAAGAGCCTTTGATCTGGTATCCCATGATCACCGCTTGGCGAAACTGACCAGTTGTGGCCTTGGATCCACCATGATCTGCTGGCTGGAAAATTGGCTCCGTGGTTGGACCCAGAGGGTAGTAATTGATGGCAGTCACTCATCATGGTGTCCTGTGACCAGTGGGGTCCCCCAGGGCTCTGTCCTTGGACCCATATTGTTCAACATCT